GTTTAAAAGTGTTTTCCACTTTAGTTTCTTGTTGTTGAACCATATCGGTTTTTCAGAAATTTGTGAAGGCAGATGTTTTGGTGTGAGCTTAATGGTTAGGCTTTATCAGGCTGTGGTGTGTTTAATTTCCCTGCCCAGTTGCCAGGAAGCTGTAACATTGCACGATGCAAATTTTGGGGTCTCATTAAAAAAAATTTAGCCTTTTTGATTTTTTTTTTTTATACTCTTGACAGCAATTGACGGGTCTTGTGCATGTTTTGCTTGTAGGGACACTATTGCTATCTGAGATGGGTTGTCCCATTAAAGCTTCTGGTGCAGTGTTGTTGTCGGGGTAATTCTCTCCCTAATGAGAGAGAGAACATGCAAAAAATCAGGTGTTAATTATGCCAACAAAAAATGACTTCATTAGGTTAGCTTGTTTCATCTGGAGTGAAGGACTTCTTGTCCTGTAAGCTCTTTCTTTTGCCTGTACCAGTAAAGATACGCCTGGTCCATAGTCTAGAAGAATAAATAGCGGAATGACACTTGTTTTCCTTGACAGCTCTACTTACTTTTTGATTAAATTGATGTGGCATTACTTGTTGATTTGGCATGGAAAGACTCTCAATCTACTTGAAGACCACCTGGTTTACAGTATAAATGCTAAAGTGTATGCATGTAGCATTTCTAAGGTTGAGTTTTTAATTTGTACTTTTTTAATACATAGCTTTAGAGAAGAGGTTGATGAATTTTTTAATAAAAAGAGTAGGAAGAGTCTCACCATCTCACTCCGTGTAAATGAAAGTGTCTTTTCTGTTGTTTGCTATGAATTATAGTCATATAATTATGACCTCGTTTTACTAATAAGTGTTCTTTAGCCATAGTAAGTACCTAATATATAAAACATCCAATTTAGATCGTACATATCTTCTGTTAGCAAATCCAGGTTCAGGAGCCACAGGTTCTCAACTAAAACTCAAAAGACTAAGACGTAATTAAAGGAGCTTCTGTATACAAAACTACCTGCTTAATTTAATAAAGTGCATCGGTACATGTTGATAGGACAGTCTCTTCTGGTCAACTGAGCTGAGGAGCGAGTAGTTGGTGAATGAGCATGGTCATGTTATGAAGGAGAACGTTGTTGGCTATTTTGTAGTTTTACAGTAAGAACAGGGTGGGCTGTGAATATGTTTTGGGTGGGTTAAGAGCTATAAACCAAAATACTCTGTTCTTTTCTCCTTTTTCCAGCTTTTTTCTTTCCTTAGTCTTGAAACTCGGGCTCTATGAAGGTAGCCTGAAGCAAAGTAATGTGATTTGGATCCTGATAAATTGTTTATATAATTCTGCTGTGTATCAGGAATAATTTTATTAAGGATAAATTTAAGTTAGTGCCAGACAGCGACAACATCTCAAGAGGTCTCTGATACATATTTATTACAGTTCTTCAGGATTCACTGGAGGTTTATGAGTGCAATGTAGGCATTTTAATATCAGATATGCTACAATATTGATTCTTTGAGAAAATGATGTATAATTCTGGAATTTTAGTAGCACCTTTAGCGAAGCATCTTAACTTGTTTGTTCAACACTGATTTATTGGAAAGAGTTATCTTTATTCTAGAGTAATTTATATCTAGCATAATCTGATTGAGTCAAGGTGAGATGTAAGAAGTTTTGAGATGTTCAGGCACCATTGCTGTATATATTGTGTGAGAGCCTTCAGAAGTTAAGGAGAAAAAGTAGTCCTGTCTCCCAGAGAAGGTTTAGAGAAGTCCTTATACAAAAGGACTTATGGTTTGTTAATCCATAAATGAGAGATAATGGTACCTTTTAATCTGCTGAAGAGATTTTAAGGCTCAATAATCTATATGAGATTTGAAACACGTAAAGTGTTTACCAGTGCTGCTGGTATTAATTGTTCTAGGGTAGTCTTAGAGTAGAGATCACTGTCACCTTTATGCCGTTTAGTGCTTCAGTGAAGGTTGTGTAGGCTCTTGACTATTTTTGAGATGGCCTCAAAACTTCATTGTACATAAAACACTTGAAAAACTTTGTATAAAAACTTCCCGATAGCCCCCTCCACTAATGAAAAAATGAAAAAAATCCACCAACTTTCCAGTCACATTTCATAACTTCTAAGTCATACTCTGCCTTTGCAGAGAATCTGATATCCAGGAGAAAATTTTTGTAGTCACTTATTAATTATTATTTATGTTTCCATGCCTGATAAAAACATCGGTTTCTTCATTAGATTTAGTGTTTAATAAAGCCATACTCAAAAATCCAAATTATGGGATCTGTATGGGAGCATCTAGAGGTTGCCATCCATGAAAAGCAAGCTTACTTTAAGATACCAGATCCTTATGCTGTCTTAGCTGTATTGAGGGAAGAGCTAATAGTTTTGCAGTGAGAGTAAGGGGGTGGGCATGGTGGAAAGGCACTGAAGAAAGGTGCCGTGTGAGTGCAGCATGGAGTAGCTGATGATTTTGTGTTTGCATTCCACGATGAACGTGCCGTGGATTGCCATCTGCAGCAAAAGACGGAAAGGCTACCCTGAACAGGCAGTTTAGTTTCCAGTCTCACACAGGTGAGCCCTTGCTGGGGATCGCTGGAGTGTTGTGTAAGTTGGTATCCTTGTTTTTTGGTAACTTGTTCTTGTATCCATGCCTTAAGGGCTGATGATTCAGAGTTCTCAGTTCGCAGAGCGTGTGAGGAGAGCTGTTGAGGGTGGGGCAAATCTATATTTGTATTTTTCAGTCATTTATAAAGTACTGAATAGCAAGTATGAGTTTGCCTTAAAGTGAGCAAACGCTAGCAGTTTTCAGGTATGAAGAAGCTTGAATTCTATCTGTTGATGCTGCTTTCATTCCTTTTCTTGTGTCTGGGTGCTAGAAATCTGTTCCCTTATTTTCCTAAAGCGAGCAGGGAAATGGCTTAGAAGAGGAACAGTGATCACAGCTTTTGCGTTCCTGTGTAGGAAGTACGTTGTTTTACTTTAGGTGCCCTTTCTTAGAGCAACTGCATCAGCATGGTTTCTTCCCTGTTCACCTACCTGTTGTTTTTTTCTGCTTCTTGAGTATGGGAGGTGGGTAGGGATCTCATGGGTGGGTAAGTAGAAGTGGGAATGAAATGAAAGCGTAGATGAGAGACCTTGTTTTACTGGCACGGGGATGCAGGGCACACTGTTAAGAAACCTGGTTTTGTTCCTTCCACTCTTTAGCTCTGCCTTTTCACTCGGATGAGCAGCAGTGAGGACCTTTTCCCCATCTGTTTGAATTATCAGATTTCCTATGACTTTGCATGTGGCCTGTGACTTTGTTTTCAATGGTTTTATTTAACTTTTTTTCTTTGAGAGCCCTGGAAATTTTTCAGTGCTTGCTAGTAACAGCAGAGCCGAGATTCTGGCTAAGAGATTTCTAGTGTTCTTCAGTTTCCCTTTCCAGTTAATATAGTCTGCAGGGTCTTACCATTTCCCCATTGCTGGTCTGGACACATGAGGAGCAGAGTCCTGTGTTTTAAGTTGCTAGCCCAGGAGCTATTACTGCTGCCTCTATCCCACACTTCATGTCCTGCATCTCTAAAATGAAGTGATTTTGGAGAAAAGAGGAGTTAGGATAATCTGAGTTTTTTTATATCTGAGGTACTTCTGTGCTGCTGTGGAGAGTAACAGGCATGCTGAAGGCAAGCAGAACAGTGATGCTGTGGACCTAGGTTTCGGGAGCAGCTTGAATTAGTTTTATTTCAAAGGATTTTGAAAAGCTGGGGAGGGGGGAAGAAGAGGGACATCACAAGAGTGTAAAGTGTAACTTGTAAGAGCTGCTTGTTTGAAAAAGTTTAACTATCTAAAGCTAGAAAGGGCTAGTAGGTTTTCAGTTGGCTAATCTACCTGACTCTACATGGTCATGTCTTCAGATGTAGGGTAAGACATGTTAAGTTTAAGATGAAACTCCAGCAGCTCTGCTATAATCAGCTGGAAACTATATATTCATACCCTTTATCCAATTTTAATGAAATTGACTTGAAATAAAACCTGTATGCTAGTGTAGCTTCTCTTAGGTATGAGAAAAAATTTGAGTAGATCCTGAGGGGCTGCAATAAGATGGAGAGTAATGTCAACAGCCCTCTCATTTTATTCTTGCAGTATGCATCTTAAAGACTGAAAAATGTTCCTTTCTATCAAGGTGTTTTTCTCTAATGTTTAGGGGTGTATTCAGCTTCTTTCTAGTGGAAGTAAAATTTCTGTGGTCTCGAAGTCCAAACAGCCCATATGGGAGACACTGAAAGAACAATAGAATCGGGAAGTTGGGGCAACGATGGTACATCCCTAAGGTAGTAAAATAATAAGTTTAGGAAGGGCATACAAAAATGTGCAGTAAACTGGAAGCTGAATTGGTAGCTGATCGATTGTTTCTGCATATTATTTCCTGATTTGAAACAGGGGACCTCCAGCATCCTGGATGTTCATCCCTTCCCTGCTGATCCCTACAGCTGAGTTCTTGTGTGATCTTGGGCAAATCGTATCATCTTTTCATGTCTCCACTGTGGAGTTTAAAGAAAAAAAAAACTATCATAGGACTCTTGCTGGAAGAAAATGTTAATAAATAAATACATAAATAAAGGTGCTCAGCTACTCTGGAGGTACATATGTGTAACAGAATTGCATTAACCATGTCTCTAGCATTGATCTGTAACTTGAGCCAGTGTGTGTTTGAAATGGTGACTGCAAGCCAGTACATTCACCTTGTAGTTTTTGAACTCAATCAATAAGATTGTTTAACTCTCCATTGATCAAAAATTGATTGTTTTGGGAGCCACCATCTATTTCGGACACTTTCCAATTACTTCAATTCTAAAAGGATATCCAGTTCATCCATAGGCTATTAATGAAGTTTATGACCCATGCTATTTAAGAAGTCTGTGTAGATAGCCAGAACTTTAAAATTAATGAAATGGAGAGCTCATTTTGGAAAAGGAGGTGCTGCAATATTAACTTTTTTTCTTTTTCTTGTATAGCTATTGGCGAATATGAAGAGCTTAGAGCAGAAAATAAGAAAACGAAAGAAGAGGTTTGTATCTGTTGATTATTTCTAAAATACTAAGTATCAGAATGCCTTATTGGCTACAGCAGGTTGCTGTCTGCTTTTGTGAGCTCAGCTGATTACTTACAAGTAAGTAAGTATTATTCGTAAGTATATGTATTAAGGAACAATGACTGCAACTCCAGAAAAGTTGCTATGAATATTTGTTGTTTGTTTGTTTGTTTTTTTTTAAATTATTGCTGCTATAGCCAGTTTGCATATGATTACAATGTGAGCATAGACCAACTCAAGTGTTTAAATAGTCTTAGGAAAACTTGTTTCTCTTGGTTCTAAACCTTGTTTTATTGTAACTTGATGTGCGCAGTGGGACTAACTGAAAAGAAAAAAGAACAATTCCCCTCACCCAACGCTGCTGAAAATTCAGAATGTAGGAATAGGATTTCTGAAGGTATTTGAAGTCTTCCCCGCCCCTCAAAAAAAACAACTCCAATTTTTAATAGGAGAGCAAGATGTCTTACCTCACCTTGCAGATGGTACTGCAGTATACAATGGATTCGCAGTGTATCACACATCCTTCTGTGAAATCTGTGTGCCTGTCCAACTTGAAAAGAAGCTTTGAATGTATGGGCTGAACTTCATACATTACTGCAGGCTTCATTTCTTTTAATGTTCAGCGATACAGGAGTAAGAAATAATGACCGCTTTCTAGACTGTTCATTGTAATTATGATGAACTGTCTTTCTAGTAGTAAAATTAAGCACATTTGGTTTATCTTCCCACCCAGGACTCGTTCATTCAACACACCAGCTTTCTGCGAGGAAGCTGACAGGGACTGAGAACTCGGAGAGAGATTTGATGGCAGTGTTGTGTTGCATAAATCTAGCAGGAGTCAGCCAAAAGAAACTGTGGCCACTAAGAGCCTCTTATCAGTTCTAGATAGTGAAGAAGGCAGAGGAGTCAGTACTACACTGTATTGTAAACAGAAAATTCTCTTTTCTCCAGTATTAGTGAGCTGAAGATGCAAGAAATACGTTGGTTTTAAAATCCCTGTTAGCTGTCAAGGCATGTAGGTTTAATTTAGCTTTTCATGAAGTAATTTCTGAAGGGTCACTTTTAGTCCAGTTGTTATAAACGTTGCAATTCAAGGCTGTATTGGGAAGACCTTGTCCTTTACTTTCTCATTATTACAGAAAACTTGAAGCTTATCTTTGTATTATGCTTCAGCGATGATTATGCGTACTTCTGCTGAGCTCAGCATATTGTGCTGAGCTCCCTCCTACCCACTGACCTTCTTGTCTTTTTTGCTGTGCTTTTTGCTGCATTCCTGTTCTACTGTCCTACACCATAGCCTCAGATATCCTGGGAAATCTGTGCTCTATTTTTGCTGTTCAGAAGACTGTGACAGTTCATATTATAGTGCTCAGAAGAAAAGGAGAATGAAACTGAGTTAGACCAGTTAGACCAAGAGTCCATCTAGCCCAGTATCCTGTCTCTGACAACAACAGAGAGGGAGGTGTGCAAGAGCATGTATAACACCTCCACAGAGTACTCTTCTAGTCTCCAAACCACTTGCAGCCTGGGGACTTCCTCAGCTGCATGTGGTTTCAGTGTGTTCTGCCCTCAATAACTCTTTTCCTTGAATTTGTCCCACACCCCCAAGCCTGTGCTGATTGTTGGCTTCCATCACATGTGAGGAGTTCCACAGCAAGACTGTTGACTGCTTGAAAAACAGGCTGCCCGACTTTGCCCTGAACCCAGATCCTGATAGCTTTGGTGTTTCTTCAACAAAGCTTTGTTTAGGTTGGAGGTGGGGGGAAGCAGGCAATGGGGAGGCTGTTCTCTGAATTTTTGTTTAGAAATTTTTTTTTTAAGGCAATTCCAGTGACAAGTTTTGTCACCAAAATCGAGATGAAATGAGATGTTCTGAGGTTGTTACTTAATTCTGCTCTTCTTTATTCCTTGCTCCTCTCTCTCACAAGACATCTTTCCTATAACTCTGCATATTTCTAGCACTCATGTGTGTTTCTGCTGAACATGGGTATGATGTTTTTCAGAATACTTGCATAACAGCTGAAAAATCCTCCAACCCTGAGCACGTGCTCAAGGTTGGAGGATTTTCAACTGTTACGCAAGTATTCTTCATCCAAGAACCTCCATCCTGCAAATTGGTGTGCTTGTGTAAGCAGGTCTGCTTAATTGTTTAAGTGCTTGGACTCAAGTGGTTAAATGTGAGACTCTAAGTGCATTTCTTCTACAAAAAAAACCCTAAAACTGGTAGAGTTCATAGTTATGTTTGCTTACAGTGCCAATGTTGGCTATTCCTCTTGTTACTGCAGGGCTGGGTGATCCTGAAAGCTTTTTTAGCGTCTCTCTAACTTTGTATCTTAGTTTATGCTTTGCAGGATCAAACCTGATACTGGAGGAAGTATAGCACAGGCTATCTCTAGTTGTGGGTCTGGGAAGTTGTGGGTGACTTCTGTACCAGTTTCTAACACTGTCAGTATGAGTGTAAGAAAATGGCTTCCTCTGTATCAATTGTGGTCACTGAATTGCGTCGGTAGGAGGAAGAGAAGAGAGAATAAGTTTTTTTAGGAAGAGATTTGCAGATTATTTGTGGAAAGTACCACACAGGGGTTAGATAGCAGTCTGGATGTATGTGCTTTTGACACACTCAGTGGAATTTTTTTCGAAGTCACCAGTACACTTGTATGGCTCTGAAAGATGAGCTGTGTCAGGGAGAAATGATTCTAGTTTATATTAGAAACATGGAACTTTGTGCATAACAGGCAGCTAACTTAAAATAAGATGTAATTTTAATTTTCGAAAGTTTATGCTCTTTGTTCTGTGTTTTTTCTTAAGATTAGGAAGTCAGTTGACTTTTATGTAGGTTACTTTGTCCAAAGCACTGCTGCTTAAAAGGATGCTAATAACTATGAAAATTCAGGAGCAAAATATAGGATCCTTGATCCATGATGTCTCTTCCTCATTGCCTTGCTAAACTGCCAATTAGGAGACCTCTGGTGGGGTCTCTGTCAAAATTGGTGCAGGCATTTTTATTTTATTAGTATGTTTAAATATTTTCAAAAACTGGAGCAAAAATGACATTGGCAGATTATTTCTTTTAGGTCATCCTTTTAATTGAAGTAGCCGACTAAGCACGCATACCAGTCCCCTAAAAATAGATAACTAACGTTCAGTTGCGCACAAATGTAGGTAACTTAATATGCAGTTCTGACGTATTCCGAGTCAGATCATGAATAAATATTTGACTACTTGCTAATCAGACAGAAATGACTCTGAACACTGGTTTTGACAGTGTTTTGTCATGCTGCCAGTGGGAGGGGGGGAAGGCAAGACAGCTTTCCACAACAGTAGGTATAATACTGTATCTCTGATACATCATTCATGGTGTTCGCTCTGTTAAAGCACACGTATAGAGTGGATTATAGGTTTTGTCTTCAGATGGGAAAAGAGAAGGGTTTCTGCCTTGATGACATGCTCATTCTTTATGTAAGAAGAGTACAGCAGATGACAGAGGATACTTTTGAACACTGTACCAAACTCGTAATTTTAGAACAAGCATTAAATCTGCATAAATTTCACTATTTGTGTAAATGGGAAAGAATGTATCTTGTGTTGCTTAGCAATGGCTTAATTGACTATATGGCTACTACATGAGCTTCTTGCATCTTAATATCTGGACTGAACAATCTCCTTCTTGTTTTTGCCCTTTGAAGGCCCTTTACTGAAGTCAGTAGGAGCTTATGTGCAAAATAGTTGGCAAAAAAGAAGCCTGTTAGAAGAGAATAGACAAGAAACCCAGGCCTCCCTGGAATTAGCGGCAAAGAATCAGCCTGGTGGGAGCGGGTGTGTGGAGAGCTGTGTATCCCCAGGCTTCCAGGTGGTTGTGTGCATCAGCTTCCCAACATCATGTTGCAGTGTCAGGTTCCCGTGATGGGACGGTATTGTACTAGCTCCAAGTACAGGCCAAGTTCATGTACTGCTATTCACCTCGCTATATATGCAGTATTTGGTTTGAACACCGATCTTTGACATGTATGTGATTTACTTGTAAGTAAGCTAGCGTATCAGTTCTCTTGTGGTAGAAATGAAACTATTGCCTCGTATCTTGTGTACAAAGAAGGCAAAAATCTGAAATTGAGTGTGGTCAGCAAAGCTCCTGAACTTGCTCCTGCAAAGATGAACTGTAAGGAGTTGTTCACAAAATTAATTTTGGAAACTGAACTGTCTTTGCATGCAATAAAAAGACATGCAGTGTCTTTTTATTGCCAAGAAATTATCATTAGCTCCTATAGTTAGTTCACGACTGGAATGGGAATATTGTCTGTTACCTTTGGTTTTTTGTTGGGATAATGGTGATATAAATATTAGATTAAAAATATAGTAGATAAAATGGTATAAATGCTTATTTTCCTCTGCAGAGAGGCTGGAACTCTTAACAAAATAAAGCTAAAGCCAGAAAATTGACCAACAATCCAGGAGTTACAGACTTTTTTTTTTTTTTCCATTTGAGGGTACTCTTGAGTATGGTGCTATCTGTTAGTACTGACAAGGGGAGACTTAGTAGATACTTGAAAGCTGTTTCTCCTGAAGAGTTGCATGCATGTGAAAAGTGAACAGTAGATTTTATAGTAATGTTATGGTATTTGCCTTTTAACATTTACGATTGGTGATATTCTTGTCAATTAGCAATTCTACTGTGTATGCCTCAAATTGCTTTTTGGAAAAGTGAGGTGGTTGTGAATTTTAAAGGCTTCTGTGCAGCTTTTTGAGAGCAGCTAACGCTTTTAAATTTTGATATTTTGAAACTTTCCTGTTTTACAGGTAAGGTAAATTTATTTTAAGGGGTGACAATGTTTTTTATTATGAAACTTAATTCCTTCATAGGAATATTTTGTTTGCATAACTTTCCAGTTTGAAACAGTATTAGTAGTTAAAGACAATCACAACTTTTTCGAAATCTTAGGTAAATTGGAGATAAACTAGCTTTTTTTGTTAGGACTTGTAACAGCTCTGCTTGCACGGGTCTGATTGCAAGACAAAAGGCAAAGTGTTTTCCATTGATCATTTCAGCAAGGGCAACAATCTCCCGCTCTCCTTTTCTTCCTGCGCTTTCATTCTGAAGCACAGTAGCAGCAAAAGGAAAATATTCAGAAAGCTGCAACTGGGAGTAGGAATTGCTCTGCAGAGACCCAAACCTACAGACCCTGATTGCCCAGAGAAACATGCGTAGCTATCAGAGTGGCCAGCTTGCTGTGGCCAAAATGGAGCGCTCTCTGCAAATAGCACTGCAGGTGAAGTGGAATAACTCATTTAACTTCCCCTTTTGCTGCACAGGGGAAGCTGTTACGCCTTACAGCGTGGCGCTGGAGGATTTCAGAAGTTTTTCCTGTCGTTGGGGTAGGGAGCATACCACATCCTCTACATCAAGGATTCCATCAGTAGGAAGGTCTCTTGTTGACTTCCACAGGCAACAGATCAGATCCTTAAGACGCTAATTTTCTTGCTTTTTAAACTGAGCATTAAAAGCGCTAGCTCACTTAATGTGCAGTGGGCTGAAAGCTTGCAGCGTGCAGAAAAGTCCGTGGGTGAAGTATGCCAGTGTGGTTACAGCGTGTCTCTTGTAAAATACGAAGAGGCAGCTGCTCACACTGATCCCCCTTTTGCAGTGGAGCTGTGCTCTGCAGGAGCTATCAGAAATTCTTTCTGTGTCTTTTACTGCCTTCTGCTCTCAGATTGCACTTCTGCCAGTAAGGTAAGGCAACTTTTTGCTGGGGAAACTGAGAGGGAGGGTAGCAAGCGGCAGGATTCGTACACAGATTTCCCTTCCCTCCCTCTCCTGTGCAAGATTCCCTAAATGGCTTCTTTGCTAACAGGGCCAGAGGAAATGGTGAGTTCTTGTCCAGTGCCACTCGCTCAGCATGTCTTGCTCCTTCTGCAGCTCTTCCTTGTTTCACAGACCTTTACAGCAGCTGGTGACTGATCTGTCCCCCTCCTCAGCTGCTGTCCCTTGCCTCATCACCCCAGTGCCACAAGAAGAGAAATTGCTTGTTGAGTACAGCTCCTTTTGCTCCCACAGACAGCCATCAGCAGTGGCTTCCAAAGCCTGTGTGGAGGCTGCCCCTGAGGCGACACCAGTGGCATCCTCTCCTTGCCCAAGAGCAAATCCTTCTTTGGGCCTCATCCAAGGTCCTCCGGAGTTGACAGAAGGGCTCTCTTGAATTTGGCTGCCTTTGAATCAGGCTCTCCCCCTTCTTGCTACTTAACAGCAGGCTCCTTTCCCAGCTAACTCAAAGTGGGTCCTCATGTGGAAAAACCGAAAATCGAGCAAAATAATTTCAGGTTTTTTTCCCAGTCCTCTTCTGAGGACCGATGTCCTTGTAACTGCAGTTACACTGTGAGGAGGTCAGTCACACAGATCTCTTCCCAAAAGCTAGCTCATGGTCTTTCGTTGATTTATTACGATGAACATACACAGCCGCATGTGAGGAAGGGTGTCTGGTATGCCGTGTGTGTAAGACACGTTGTGTGCCAGTCATACTTCCCCCCGGGTCATGTGTTTTTCACAGTGTGGTTAATCACTGACTGTGTCTCTTGGGAAGTTTACTCATTTCTTTGAGTTCTTTGCTTATAGAAGGGGTTTTCTTAGAAAAGTCTATTTAACGTCTTTTTTATTCTTTCTCTTTGAAGAAACCTTTCCATCATGATTAGTGATTGCAGCTCTGTGTAGCAGTAGCATTAACCCTGAAATTAATAAAACTGGGGTGATGGGAAATCCTCAAAGTATGAAAATGAGTGTCTTCTCTTCAAGGCTAAAGATTTCTCATGATATTATGAAACTGAACAGCATGTACCTGTTTATTGGCTTGCTTTGAGGTTTTCCTTGCATGTGGTGGGTATAGAAACATAGGCCTCTCTTCCAAGTCTATTTGTTTTAAAGAACTTAAAGCATAGACTTAAAGCATATTCTTGACATGCAAGGTATTGCTTTTACTGTTGTGTGGAACATGGATGACTGTTTATATATTGGATAATGTGGCTCTTCTAAAATATTTTCAGAATTGCTCTGAATTGGAACCTAAAATCAAGTACAACTTGTCAGTTTGGTTAGGAAATACTCTTGGTAATGAATTTTTTTATGCATAGTTTCCATCAATCGTACATGACTGAGAGAAAAAAAGAAATAATGCTCCATAGGCTTCTGTATGCTATTGTGCTGGCAATTGATCTTTGTTGATTTTGATGTTGTGACTGACTGCTAATTAAATAACTGGGATCAGTGTTTCATTTCAATTTTCTCTTTTCCTGCAGTGTGACAAAATCAAGCAAGAACGAGATGAAGCTGTCAAAAAACTGGAGGAGTTTCAGAAAAGTAAGTTAATAATGTTAGTGGTAATTTTTTGGTATAGGTAGTTATGAATATCATTCTGCATGCTCTACGGCAGCGTTAAGAATGCTGAGATTCAGGTCCACTTTCTGTTTCTCTTGCAACCCTTGTTTTAAGGAGTTAATCCAGTGAGACTTTGACCATTGTCAACCTAACTGCTGTCACAGCATTTATGTGCACTGACACAAGTAGCCATTCTTAAGGTGCAAAGCGGTAAAAATACCGTGGTACAAATGCAGCGCGCTCTCACCTGGATTCTACAAGCAACTTTTAGAATATGCTTGGATTGAGTGGGATTTGACCCTGTTGCTGAGATTGATGATAGTAATAATAACAATAACAACAGTGAGAAGAATGGTAATTTTTTCATGAAGGAGGAGTAAAATTACCTTAAGCATAGACACACCAATAAAGGATTTTAGGATGAGCTGCTGTCTCTTGATAATTTTTAGAGCAAGTTCTGTCTTGTCTGGGCTGTGAGAATGTCAATATTCAGTTTTATACTTTTATGGTAATGATTCTATTGAAACTGTATGGTGTCTGGAAGCAACAAAGCACATCTAATGGGAGTGGAAGTATCCTAGTGGAATAGCTCCTTAGAAGAGACAATTACAGTAGGATTGTGGTCTGGTTTGTGCCAGTATGGTGAACTGCACCACGAAGCATCAGAAATGTGGATGAAGTTAACGCAGGAGAAAGAAATCATGTCTATACTTCCGTGTGACTGTGTTAATAGAGGAACTTTCTCATTTCTGTTTTTATAGGCGAATGTATCTATACATATCATATGTATCATATGATACAATTATAGAAAATAATTTAAAATCAACAGGAATCATCTACTGCCTTAAATGATCTTAGATAACTGTTCTGTGAGGGCAGAATGTTCTCTAAGAAGTCTAATTCCTCTAGAAAAAATTGCAGCCTGTTTTGTTTTTTGTTATGATACAAGGAACACCAGAGTGTGGCAGAAAATGTCAAGTAGTTAAGACTTAAAATTTGAAGTAATATTTGATGTTGTAAAATTTTATAGGTTTCTTTTATCTTCCTTTCACATTTTTAAAGGACATACCTTGTAAACATAGTGATAAAATGCCAGGAATATTAGGATTTTAAGGCAATAATAGAGCCCATTATTTAAACGACAATATAAAAGGCAATTATATTGATGAAGAGCTACATCGGCTTTGTGTCTGTGAATAAACTTGGCCTGTACTCAGCTTCTATTTGTTCTCCTGGCATAAACACATATTGTGTGTGATTCCAGTTTAATGGGGCCCCGTTTGTATGCCAAGCAGCTGCATTTTAGGCCCTATTGCGTGATTTCATAGCTCTCTGAAAATTGGTTCTATTGAGCACGAGAGATAGAAGGTGGTGGTGGGGGGGAAAGCTTCAACACACAATCATTTCTTTTCAATTGGAGCCAGCAAGGTTGATGACAACATGACCATTGTGTTATAATGATAAGACCACTAAGGATCTGTACCTCTCATCAAGGCTTTCACACAACAGCAGATACAATTTAATTCACTGCTCTGTCAGCAGTGCTGATACCATTATGCCGTCTGTCTCCACAGTTATAATCACTGTCCTCCGAGAAATGCAGTTGAAATGATCTTGAGCAGTCAAAGAAACTCTCAATTAAGGCTGCCACTTCCAATGTGTCAGATTGTGTCTTATGCACTTGGTACAATTTTCACTTCCAATCCTGTTTATTTACAATGTCTACCAGTAATTACGCTTAACATGTCATTTAGTGAGGGTGCCCCTGCCAAGGAGATTGTTGGGTGCTGCAGTACCATTGAGTGGGAGTTTCTCGCAGTCAATGCCATCAGCGGCTTTTAGTCCCTGATGGGATGCAGTAGTAATGTTGATAATGCAAGTATCGTGCTCATCAAGTCATAATTAGATGCCACTCAAATGTGCCACTTGTAATAACAGTGTTGATTCATGTTTTCTCGGTGACTGCAACTACTAATTAGTTAAGTGGTTTTTGGTTGGCCTGCATTTGCTGCGGATTATTATTACCCCTGAAAAAAACTGTCAAGGTTAGAGATGTTTCAGGCCACTTAGCGCTGCTTTATGAATTTTAATATTGACATAATAAGAACTTTGGACAGACTTAGGAAATAATATATTTTTGTATTTAATTTGGAAAGATTTTTTTTCCCCTGAGTTAATCATAATTGCAGGTTAATTAAGTTTAAATGAACCAAGAGTAATCCCTAGTTCTGCCATGTGAGCCCAATCCTTGTTTCCTAACTTTAGCCTTGCTTGAGGGCATTACATTTCTGTCTGTAAAATGGGAGCAGCTCTGTATCTCCACTGCTTCCTCATCCTGCCTAAAGCATTTCATTGCTCCACTTTCCCAGAGCTAGGTAGAATAAGACAGGAGAGATGTGAACATGGACTACCTGAAGCTTTTCCTCTCTTGAATTAAATGTAGCAGCTGGTATGGCACACTTGGGGCAGACAATTTCTCCAAAGCCAGAAAAAATGCAAATAAAAACCAACCAAAGAAAGAAATGTGGTTAGAAGACTTCATATGAATACAGTTTTTGGACCAAGATTTCCCAGTGCTCTGCCCTGCTCTTTTATTTTGGCTGCTCATATTTTGTAGAACTTTTCTTGCACGCAGCTACTGATTTGACAGCAAACTCCAATGTACTGCTGTTTTCCTGTGTTAGTTACTAAACTATTAGTTAATATTGACAAAGTATCAATAAAGCTGCATAAATAACACTTGTTAACAGCCTGCGTTTTCCTATCCTGAAGTCCTGTTTTGTAGTTACTAAGATGACCTCTGGGTATCAAAGAGAAGTTAAGTATCTCTCCTCAGTTTTTAGTCCTGGAAGAGGGCAGGCAGGATTTCTATCCAGTGGTATGAAATCACTAGGTTTTAAAGCTTATCTTCATGAAAATGAAAGGAGATAGTAGCAAAAGTCCTTCGTGCTTGTACCATATTCTGCTAGCCTTGTTCTTGTTGCAGAGTATTGTTCAACTGTGAATAGTCCTTTCTGCACATTGAAATCCTGATATTGAGCTGAAAAGGAATCTGCGCCATGAAATGACTTTCAGAATTAGGGTCCAGGCTGCTGCTTAGCATGAATAAGGGAGCCAGGAGCCAAGGAGGAATTGCATCAATGAACAAGGTGCTAGCCTGAGAAATGGGAAACTGTTGTTGGGTTTCCTGCTTTACTCCAGATCTCCTGTGCGACTTGATGCTTGTCACTTAGAAGATGACTTTCAGCATCATGACTTTAAGTACCTGTGCGCTGCTGGAAGTTAAGAAGAATTGCAAGTGAAAATGCATCTGTGCTTTTAAATATCCTCTAACTCATAGTAGTTTCCTATGTTACAAAATAAGATTAGTTCCATAACTTTTTGGTCACTCTAGGAATACTGCATATCTTCGATATAGTGATGTGTACCCACTGCGGTAACAGGGATCCTGTAAGTGCAAAGGACAGATGTGTCTCTTGCTCTTCCAGCTGTGACATCAAATACAGTAGCACAGTCAGGTATTTCAGATGCAGTCAGACAACTCGCTCTCGGCCCTGGTCTCATGGAAGATTGTGTGTGTCCATGTGTGCATGCTGGTGCCTGAATCTGTGTAGGACTGTGAAGGCAGGATGTAAGACCACAGTTATTTTATGGCTTGCTCAAGCACAGAGAGACTTGAAAGAAGCAGCAATTTGGACATTCCAGCTGTATAGTAATACAGAACTTGGGATGTTCAGCTGAGGTTGTCAAAAATCAGTCGGTGCAAGCAGTGTTGAGTTTCCATCAGGATTGCATCCATCAGGGTGTATCTGAGCTGCTGCAGCTAGCGTTGAAGCTGATGAGGCAGAACCAGAAGAAGGAACTGTGCTGTGCTGATGATTTGACTTCAGTGGAGTTTGTACTGTAGGAGGCACTACAAATACAGAGGCTTTGGTCACGTTTGAACCTAGTAAACTTGCCCTAGGCCTGTGCCACATCCTGCCATCCTGCAGCTTCTTGTACAGTGTGTTTAGCAAGTGTGATGATACTTAAAATACCATATAAACATGAAGGCTGGAAGGTGAAAATAATTGTTGTAAGGCACTGGAGTTAATCTTGCTGTTTAAAAATATCAAGGTTCTGATCTTCTGAAAACAGCATCCATATCAAATTTTCAAGAGGATTGTGATGGCAATCTGAAGGGACACTCCTAGTGGTCTGACTCTGATTCCTCAAAGGGTTAATGCTATAAGGATGGTGAATGATGGTGGTCAGGGAGAGTCCTGCTGGCCGCCTACTTCCATAAGTTTATGCTCAGTTCTCCACTTCCCCCTCTAATGCTGCAGACGTGGCTTGAGAGTTGCTTAAAGCAATGAACGAGATAGTCAATGTTCATGGAGAACATTGTCTGTCCATGGAGATTATCTAAGCACATACTTCCTTGTATTTGAAATGCTTTCATAGAAAGTTAACAGAAAAACATGCAGTGTTTCTGATCATGGGATGCATGTGTCAAATGCAGGAAAATACTGACTAATTTTTAAACTCTTCCCCTAGTTTCTCACATGGTTATTGAGGAAGTAAACTGCATTCAGAACCATCTTGAAATTGAGAAGACGTGCCGTGAAAGTGCTGAGGCTTTGGCTTCTAAGGTGAGAAGAATTATGGTGATTCTGTTTCATCTGATTTCTTTTTTCTTTTTATTTTTTTAATTGATATTGTATACGTGTCACATATATATTTTTGTATAATCTTGCATATCTATGAAATTGTTTTGAATTAGCAAAAACTGTAAGCCATATGCAAGATGCAAAATACAATTCCTTCCTTTAAAGAAAAAAAAATACCCATTTTAATTTAGTTTCTATTTTGGAAGAGTAAGTCATGGACCAGCATCTTGATATCTAGTTTTTATATGCATTTAGGTTAAATGGAAAACAAGTTTTAGAGCTGTCCTGTGTGAGATATAAAACAATAATGAGCATTTCAGTGTCTAAATCAAATGGAAAAAGTCAACCACTGCATTACATTTCAGGTGATTGTTTATGAAAGCAAAGCGAGGGCAGGGGAAAGGTGACCTCCGCTGCTCTGTTGATTGCGTCTAGTCTGATGAATTTAGCAAGTGTGTAATTTTCTATATTCCATCTCATCAGAAGTGCATTATTATTAAAGAATGTTTTTATCTCTCTGTTATATATTTTTGGTTGTGTAAAATGCATCTGAGCTACTTCATCAGAAAATGGATTACAGCAATTTTGAACCAAATTTCATTAGCAATGCTGACTGCCATTTTTTTCTTTTCTTTTTTTTTTTCCCCTCCCCACCCCCTGCCCAAAGTACATCCTTAGATATGGTAAAAATCACGCCAGCAAGAAATCACTTTAATTTAGATGCATTAGCAATGTACTTTCTGGAGGTATTTATTTAATAGTTTGCATAATGACACTATATTAGAATTCATAAGATAGACAATCAGCATATAACTAAGGAAATGAATGTATTTATGCAACTTTTCTTCTTCTCTGCACTTTTCCTGTAATGCACGTACAGGGGCAGTTCAAAGACTAGCTCTACCCTGTGGGGCTACTTTGCCAAAGCTGATTTGTTTGTGCTGTGAGTTGACTAAATAAGACCCCTTACACCATACTTCCCACTTGCTCAGTTTCATTCTTTGGCAATGAAATGAACACGTTCTTGAGTAAGTCTCCTGTAGTTGGGGAGCTGAGGAAAGGTGGGGATCAAAGATGATTGATCAGGGTCAGCCTAACTGTTCAGCACGCATTTTATTTCAAGGTAAATATTGGACTTCTGAAGTACACTTGACTTTAGCATGTTGTACATTGTTGGTAGAAAATTGAGCCTCATTCTTAGACGTGAATGTAGAGAGTGCTTGGCTGGTGGGTGGGCAGTCACCCCAACATATGCCTGAACACCCTTGAGACTGTGCTGAGCTTGCTGAGAGCTGCTGACATGCGGTGTCTAGATGCAGCACAGTGAAATAAATGGTCAACATTTACAGCAGTCTCTGTTCAGTTTTTCCTGGCACCTTGAGATGCCTTACAGAACCTTTTCTATATCGTCCACCAAGAGACATGTGTTTAATTGTCCATCCCAGAGTGGTTTCTGACTTGTGGTTTGACCCATAAAGAATTGGTTTATGATACAGCCTCCTTTGTATGTACATTGACTCTACAGCAATAATTGCTGAGAATTGAAAATAATTCAAAAGAATTTTGAGGTAATTCTGCCCTGACTGGGAGTATAGTAGTTGTGGTGTTTGTAGTTTATAAGCAAAATAAGGACACAGGAGGAGGTGAGAGAGTTTTTATTTGACCAGTTGATATAGATGGCAAAACCAGATGAGCTTTCAGGAACACAAACTCTTCGTCAGGTCATTCAGTTAGGGCTCCTATTGATGCTGGTACATGCTTAAGGGTGAGGAGCTGAAGCAGCTATCACAAAGAATGCGTAGCATTAAGTAAGTTTGATAGTTGATTTGATTTGAAACTATCTGGTATTTATTAGTCATAAGTACCTGAGAGGAAAGAAGGGCATGGATGAAGCATCGTGTTGAATTCCAGCCTCCTCAGAGGAAAAAAAGGACAAGCTTCCCATCTTCAGACCATTTTGATGTTGAATGGAGCATTTGATCTAATGTTACTTTGTGATCTTTGTTTCATAGATCTTTTAATGGTAAGAGAGAAAAAAATAGTTTTTTTTCTTGCACAGCAGCTTAATGACAGACTAACTAACTTCTTACTGTTTGTGCTTCTCAACTTTCAGCTGAACAAAGAAAATAAGACATTGAAAAGAATTAGTATGCTTTATATGGCAAAACTGGGCCCAGAAATTATCACTGAAGAGATTAACATTGATGAAGACGATTCATCCACAGATACAGAAGCTAACTCTGGATCATGCAATTCTGTGCATTGTCAGCAGCAAATAAAAGGTGAGTGTGGTTGCTGAGCCTACACCACCACGCAAGGCAAAAATTGTCTGAAGAATGGCAGTATTGGTTTGGACCAGAGATCTGTCTGGCTCAGAGTCCTGCTTCTGAGAGTGATCATCAAAGGATTTCCAGGAAAGACTAACAATATGATGGGCTTGTAGTGATACTGTGTAACGTATATGGTTGGATATACAGCCTGCAGAGTCAGTTACAATGCAACAGGTAAATGACATCTACACAACTAAGAGAGTTCAATGTTACTGAGTCAGTGAAAGAAGTATTTCCTCAGATCCTTAACAAAGTAAAAGTTAAGCAGAAGGACAAGGTCACCATTGCTTCAACTGCAATGTCACTATTTCAAAGCTTGAGAGACGGGACTCTCCCTTCCTATTTCCATTATGTACCTTTGTCTGCACAAACTTCATTCATATATTTCTGAGCTATTACCAAACAAGCAACTTAAAAAGGGACTGTTGTACTGGGTAAAACAGCAAAGCTTGGGAACATGGGAATACATTGATAAGAGAAATCTGTGCTTTATTAAGAAATTCCTGGTTCTTTTTGGAAAACCAATTTCTATTTCTGTAATCCAAAATCTGATTCCTTTCTTGTCTAACTCTGTGATGAAGTCATCATGATTCTGTATGTTGTTATATCATAGTATCCAAAAAAGGGAATGCCCACATACTGCATTTGGTGACAGAGGGATTAAGTGGTTCACTTTTTAAAAAAACCAACGACTTGTAACTTACTCTCAGAAAAAAGTTAAATAGCAAATGATGTCTTAAGTATGGCTTTCCTGAACTTTCAGCCTGACATTGTGAATTGTTTTCTGTTTCAATGCAGCAGCCTCAATGAAGTGGTACAAAGTATCACTGAGGAAACAGAACAAGTGTTGTAAAAATGCTTTAAGAAAATCGCACTCAAGAAATAAGATGTTGTAATACTCTTCTATAATAAGCAGTTTTTCATCCTACAGATGTAGCAAAAGAGGCAGAGAACGGTGTGATCTGTACCATGCAACCCATCTGAATAGGAAATAACACTCTGGAGTTTCTCCTGTCCTTTATTGGAGAAAGAGGTCAAGAATAACTTAAAGAGAGCAAAGACTCTGGCTGTAGATGGTTAGGAGAGTAGCAGGGTCAAATAAGAGAAATATTTCAAGAAGAGCTGTGATGTATATGCTTTCTGTCTTGATGAAGAATTCATTAAAGAATAAAATGTGCCATGTTGTAAAGGATTTAGAAGTCCTGGCTTCTGCTCCTCTCTCTGGCCTTATTAAATGCTAATGACGTTACTGTTACAAGTGCTGAGTATTTTTAAAAGCATTGGCATCCCATTTGCTATAGGAGAAGATATTCCATCCCTGTGCCTGGAGAGAAGCGTGTGTGCGTATGGTAGCAGAGTGATCTGTCAACATATACCAAAAGGCAGCGTTAGGGCTGTGTCCCTAGCCTAAGCCAAGCTGCATGGCATTTGTCTTCAGGGAAAAATCAGAAGTTATATCTTGGATTACCTGCTAAGTGAAGGACCCTATGCAATGAAAGATGTGTTTTCAAAACTCCTTTTAATGCTTTGTGGTGTTGCCCAAGGTGAAATCTGCTCTTCTATACATGTTTATAATTCCAAACAATTGTGTTTTGTGTTGGGAGCCTTGGAATTCTTTTAGCCTTCTCACCATTCAACAAAATACTGGGTGTTTCTTGGAATGATTCCTTCGCTCCCACCACTTTTCTGTAGGTACAAATGAGGTAGTATAGTCTGAGGCTCTTTGATGAAAACCCTGTCATGTATTAAAGGGATAAAATCTTGTCCCTCAGATACCTTCCTCTATTTCTGCTATCTCATACATTAGAGAAAGGTGATAGTAAACCTGTGGTTCCTAATGGAAGTGTAAAGTGGTCTCAGAGCAGTACCTGAAATTCATTTATAGGTTTTAGGGTTTTTTTGGTTTTTTTTTAGCTGACCTTTTGGTTATAACAAGAACTGAAAACTCAGCTGTGTTGGTCAATCAGTTTTGTGCATACCCTTTATCTGAAAAGAAACGTTTCTTGTACACATTTATAAAGATTTAGTTATACGGATATGCTTTCTTCTTCTTATGAAGTTGATCTATGCACTGTAAGACCTGACTTAATCCAGTTACCATAAATTCCAGTGAAACTTTTTTTTCTTATTAATTTCACTGGAAAACACAAATCCATAAATCAGATGATTTGGTTCAAGAATCTTCTGGGAAAACAAGTCTTTTTATTTACTTTAGAATGTGTGTGTCTTTAATTTGGAGGAAAATAAATCTGAGGCTCCTGAATTGGGAGCGGGTGGCTAAGGTAGAATCAACATTTTCAAGATGTGAGACCAAGCAGAATGACATCCAGGATGTCATCATCATCTGCAATTGATTAGCAACAATTTTCTCAACTCGTGGCTGGTATTCAACAAACAGCAGTGCTATGAAATACTGGAAGCAGGTGGGGAATGAGAGCACTTACTGAAAGCTAATATATATCAATAAATTTATATTTCTGTGGTGTTTTTATGTTAACCTAAACCTTGATATATTATGTATGCAAACTGATCTCCTGTTAAGAAGTTATTATAATCAAATGTTTTATTCCATTGTGAATTTAATTTATTTCATATTTTGATAATTAAGGAACAAAAATTCCGAGGGGAAAATTACAAGCATTAGCTCTTCCATCAGTAAAGGTTATATTCTGACTCTGTTCACATAATGTTACAAAGACTATAAATTGGCAGCTGTTCAGGACAATTTCTTCAGTGAAAACCTCCCAAGTATTAACTGCCTGTTGTTTTGTTTATTTCCCTTGTGACAAGAACTCATGATCCAAAAAGAATTGAAGTGCATTAATTTGTTTTAAAGGGGGCCTATTAAAAATTGCTTTCTGCTACCCCTGTACCCGGGCCTCTGTGATGTGACAGTCTCCTGAGTAGAACTCAGGATACTCTGCGGTGGCAGGGTTGGCCCCTGTATAGCAGGAAATGAATCATTCAGAATGCAAATAAAGACAGCAGTACTGAACAAGGCAGCTTACCTCGACAGAGTAAATCTGAAACTGTGGCCCAGTTATAGATCTGTTACTTGACACTTATGCAAAGTTCCTAAATTATTGAGGATGTACCTTGAATACAGCTGAGGCTTTGTGTGCAGTTAGGGTGTTTTGTACTTGATTATACTTGCATTGCTATGACATTTCCTTTGTTGTTTTCTTCCAAGAATAAAATATATTTTTCATTTCCTTCCTCAAACTGTAGAGCTGCGAGATCAAATCGTATCTGTTCATGAGGAAAAGAAGACCTTAGCCATTGAACTGGAAAACCTGAGGTGCAAACTTGTAGAAGTAATTGAAGAAGTATGTATTGTACCATGGAAGGCGAGACCACGTTAGTGTATAGTCAGTACTTTTTGTATCTAATTTTGCTAAAAATGCTCAGTTGTGAAGTTAATTGAATACTATCTAATCGCAAGTCCTGCCAGCCTGTCTGTATGATGCACCACTTAGGGTGTATGCCTAGAAGGGGCCTTCTACGTCAGAGCCCAGTCTGCTGCTGTTGCTGGCACATGAGTTTCCATCATCTGTTTTAATGCCCCTATTATAACTCTCATTTCCACTTCCTGACAGCCCCCCACCCATCACAGCCTGCGGCATTTTTATGGTTTTCCTTAAACCTGTGGATGTGCAAGAAATACTTCTGGAGAATGTCCAGTTGAATCACTAGTGCTACTTCATTGAGCATATCCTTGAGTTTAGCTATTGGCAGTGCCCTGTCATGGTAATTAGACCAGCAAATTGGCTTTTGGAGCCAGCCGAGTTTCATTCCTGCTTGAAAGCTGGATAAGCCATGTACTGATGCAAATCAGGACTTAGTGGCTCTTCCTGGCTATGCAACACTTGCATTCAGAAAGACACAGCTGACAGCTCTTGGACAATAAACAGAGCTCAGGAAAAAAAGCGAAACAGCAGCCTGACTATATTAAAACGCAAACCGTCAAGGGCAAGCTAGTAACTTTTCAACCAGGTACTATGGCGCCTCATCCTGAAAGGTTCCAAAGATGTTATATTTGCAGCTGTGACTGGTATGTGCCATGAGAATGGGCCATGGGAGCAGCCCCAGGTGAAGCGTTAGTTCAAACCCTTTAATGCCATCTGTTATGGGGTCAGTAAGTTGGGGTAAAAATGCTTTCCATCCCACTGGAAACCCGAAGATCAAGCCAAACTTAGGAAACAATTGCTGAAAGCAAAATATTGCTTGCATTGTCTTGCTATATGCCTTATGTCACTAACTAAAATACTCTTATTTTTGATCTTTACGCTTTTCTAGGTGAATAAAGTGAAAGAAGAAAAGGCTGTTTTGACAACAGAAGTTAATAAGCAGCAAAAACTGTTGGAGAAATGTAACAGAGGTGTGTGGTCTCAGCAGGTTCTCTAACAGTTTGCTACATCCTTTGCAGAAGCTTCAGAGCTTTTATGGTGTAGTACAAGGAGTAGGTTACAGAACAGTGACTGTGGTCCGGATCTGACACTCGGCCTTGTTGCTGCAGCCAGTGCATAAGCACATGGACTATTCTAGACTGTCTCTACGCCAGGAAAATGGGACAGTGTAAATAGCAGGTTGAATGTGAGAATAGGAAAACTTTTTGCTCTGTGGCACAAGTGGCAAGCTAGGACAGGAAGGCAGTCCTCCATGGAGATGGAGTTTGAACCTTAATCTCCTGTTTTCCTAAATCATTACATTGCCTTCCTTTTAGTTGGGACACAGCTAATAATTCTGAGTATCTAAAGACTTGGGAACAACCTGTATGTTCAGAGTCTGATGAGAAAAAGGCAAGAGTGCTGGGAATGAGGTCAGTAGGATTTCCAAGTTATGGAAGGAGAGCAGGGACTTTCCTTTCCTGGAAAGAGATGAGAAGTGAAACCAGGGAAAGTCTAAAAAGAGGTAGGGCTCAGAAAAGGAAAGCTTTTCCTTAATGAGGGTGAGTACTTCCACAAATAGTTGACCAAAGGTAGTTCAGAGGGAACGGTAAAGATTTTAGTGCCTTGGCTTATTGTGCCATTTTGTCTTGTTGCTGATTCAGCCTTGTAAAATTAAAAATTGCTTGGTTAAGTCTCGTTGGCTGTTTCACATTTTCCTGAAGTGGAAAACAACAGGTCTGGCCTCTAATGCCTGCCTATCTTGATACTTTACTTGTTCTACTTTCCAGAGGCACTCAGTTATTTGTTCAACAGCACCTTAACAATGCATCCTGGAGGTCTTCAGCCATATTCTGAGTTATTTTGATTTATCTTCAAGTTGTTCCTCTGCAGTTGTGTTTTACTTGCTTACCTAGGGAGGAAAAATAAAAAGTTTGTAAGACATTTCCCAGAAATTCTGAAATGTTTGTCAGGCAGTGGAGGGAATGGCCAGGGCTGCTGCTTTTGCACAGAAGGACCTGTGGAAATAGCCGCAGCTAAATAGTGAAAATACACAAGAAAAGTGCAGTCTTTTGGATAGGGAAGATTCCAATCACGCCATGGCCTTCTGCCAATAATACTCTCTTTTTCTTTGTAAAAAGTATACAAAATCAACGTTGTCCACATTTTCAAGGAAACAGCTGAGTTTTGAATTACAGAGAAATGTATGAACTTTTAGTGGGAAATTATTTTCTCTCTTTTCCCTTTGCTGTCCAGTGGGACAGTGTCTTCTCTGAATGCTGCAGCTGTCTCAGCACAGGGAGAGGAGGTTTGCACAGTAGGGTGTATTCTGTAAGCTTCCACCAAGTGTTCCACTCATCATCATCTCTTACCTCTTTGATGTGGCTGCATTGCTTGAGTCTATGACAGGCAGTACTTCAAGACTCTTAAAACACCAGATTTTGGGTAGGTTGATTAGACAGACCAGCTTGAAGAAGCTTTTGATGGGATAGTGTAGCAGATCAAATGTTTCTGAAATGTTTTCTGTTTTCTAAGCCCAATAAAAAAAGAACAACCCATTGTTTCACGTTCGTCTGTTTTCCAGGAAGGAGGAATTATACCAGGTTAGGTCCTAATGCACAGGCAACATAAAGCGAGATTTTTTTTGCATGCTTGAAATGAGCTTCCAACATATCTATTCAATACCTACTGTATTCTGTCTCGGTGCAGTACTGGCTTGGAGCTGTGTAATCAATACATTTCAGTCAGAGATGGTGAATTTATCTTAACTTTTTAAGTGTATGGGTTGGGTTCTTTTTGTGGTGTTTGGTTTTTTTAACATGATTTTGAGAGTCAAGAGGTCTGTGATGTATATCCCACGCTCTGAAGTACCACTCACTGTACATAGCTTTAAAAACTGTTATGCTCATCTCCAAAGAAGCCAGGAACTTACGTAGGACAGTGTTAGAAATGCAGTGTCATCATCCTGCAAACTAGTCTTCAACCAGTAAGAGCTAAAGCTTATGCAAGTGGTCACTGAGACATGTTAAAGGTAAATGATACTTGAATACTTCCAAACGATGCTTGCTGTCCTGGATTGAGGCCTGTTCAGAATTTTTTGGAATTCAAAATTTGGGGAAGCATGCCCCGTGGTTAGCTTTAGCCTGGCTTTGTGAGCACAGTTTAAATACAGGCAACACAAAATTGCACTGCTTTCTTCTTGAGGCTTCTTTAAATCTCCATTTTAAAAGGACCCATGAAACCTAACTCAAACCAGGCAGGCAAATACAGGTGCCTCCAAAATAACGTAGTGATCTTTGGTAGGTTCAGCAAGGCTCTCTTAAGGCTTTGATTGCTTGCACCCAAAGAGGCAAAATACGGTCTGTGCTACATGTCTGCTGGCGTTTTGAGTCTGGGTGGGAGGAGTATTACTCTGTTCTGAAGATCAGTAATTGTGCATCCGTATATAGTGAGGTTTGGAGCAAACAGGACAAATACTGCAAAGGGGACTGTATATGGAAATATGCAAGTTATACCTTCATTCAAGGATTCATGGTGCTGGGGAATAACAGCTTATCTGCATAAATCAGGCAGTACTTTCATCTTATTTGGATCCATTCCACTTTTACTTCTAATTGTGTTTTATTCTTGTAAACAGTATCTGTGCTGGCAGTAGAGGAATATGAAGAGCTTCATGAAAACCTTGAACTGGAAAAGAACCTGCGGAGGAAAGCAGAGTCGTTTGCACAAGAGGTGAGTAGTCAAGAAAAAGGGATCTTGTAAAATGAAAGCATTGCAGCTGGGAAAAAACCTACCAGCTTAGATGACTTGTTTTCGGTTCCCAGCTCTTGTACAAAAGATGTCTTTGAATGTCCACATACTGCTTAGCCAGCATCTGTACTTCATCTGTAAAATGGATTTACTATTTCAACAGCATTTATAAAGCACTTCAGAATTATCCATGCCATCTTACCTCTTTTCCCCTTTTTTAAAGCAAAGCTTTAAATTTGTAATGAGCTTAATCAGCCACAGTATTTCAATGTGATATATGTAGTGGTTGGGTCTGGGAAGGATTAGTTGCCTTTCTAGGGATATAATTTGAAGCACTGTGTTTTTCCTGAAAAATATGTGTACTCTCAAAAAAAGTGTTGCAAAATACAATATTAGTTGAGGTTTGTGCAAGTTTGGCTGCTACTTAACATACGCCTTTTGAATAACATAGTGCAGGGAGCATTCAAGCTGAAAAAAACTGTTTCTGTGTTCTAGAAAAGGTATAAATTCCCAAAGAGGAAAATGAGTTACTGGGTAGCATTATGGAAGGGCTGGTGGTTGCTCTAGTGGCTTGTGACTGGCAATGTTTGCCTTAGAAAATGCTGACAAACTCTTTCATTCTGTTGATAGACGGAAGCCCTATAAAATAATGAATTTGTTTTTGTTTTGTTTTTGTTTTTGTTTTTTTATGTGTGTTTTCTGTTTGCACTCTGTATTTTGAGAGCTCTGCACTTGGGATATATTTTCAAGCTTTTCTATCTGAAGCCATGCATCAATGTGTGTTTTTTTTTTTTTTTAATAAAAGTTACGCTTCCTAAGTAATCATTTTTCAGGGAGCTCAGGTTTAAAGAAAGCTATTATATATGAAAATTACGTGAGTCATCAGTACTGAAATACTGTAAATAAGGGAAGCATCTGATGTGAAGTGGATTTTAGATTTTGAAACCATGGCTGCCAGCAAGCAGGTATTTAGCCTTCAGGAAGTCAGCTTTGTCTGGGTAGAGAGCTCTCTTGCTTTTTGTCTTTGCTGCTGCTATTTCTCTCAAAAAAAAAAATTAAAAAATATATTTGGTAACTCCTGTTTGTTTAACTGCATTCAGTCAGTGATGCAGCAAGGGCATCTATGTATTTTGAACCTGTATAGAAAACAATGAGTAGCCTTACTGTGTTCTGTTAATCTTGTGGGGTTTTTTGCTGTGTTTTTGAGTGTTTTGGGTATGAACAGAATCATACAGCAACAGTTCAAACAAAATTAATTGGGAGGGGGGATGTTGAGATAAACTGTAAACAAATTTGAAAATCTGGAAGCTAGGGGTGAGGAAGTCGACCCTGATGTTGCCTGTACATATTCTCTTGTGCCTAAGAGCTCGCTCTCTCTGTGCCATGTACAAAGGTTGGAGAACTTCAGGGCATCTGGGCCAAGGGTACTCGTCCTCCTTCTCCTCATTCCACCTTTTGCCACTCTTTCCTGTTCTTTCCTTTCCAGGGTCACCCTGTTGACCCTTTGGGAAACCCATTGAAGGAGCTAACTTGGCAGAAACCTAGTAACTTCTAGGTACAGATCAATTTCTCTTTCTGTTAATAGGAAAATTTGCATTTGGGTAAGAGGGCTGGGTGCTCACCCTAAAGGGCAAAGGTATTTGCAAATTCAGGTTTATTAAGCTTTGGCAGATACGCTTTCATTCATACAGGTATATGGTATAACCTAGCTTTAGATAAACTACTGCTTGTCAATTCTACTACTGAAGCTTCAATCATTTGATGAGTCAACTTGTAATTGAAGTAAATTTAAATTTATGTAACTTGTATATATACACGTACCTGCAGTGTCCTGCCTTGTGTTGTCAGTATCCCTGCCACGTGTTGAAAATGTAACTGTACTTCAGGCAAAGCTAAAGCAGCTGACACCTTTCCCCCACCAAGGGAATAAGAAATGATGGAAATTAAAATTATTTACTGATTATTAAAATGTCCTGTTAACTCCCAACACTTAAGTACAGAGATGGACTTTTCAGGATGCTGTTAGTCAAGAGATGTAGGAGAGAAATCACTCAAGAGGAATGGTTTTTGAAATCAAAGAGACTGCACATGCACCCTCCTCCAAGCCCCACTTTTGCAGAGCTTTGTGGGATGGAGCCCAAATTCCTCTGCAGAGCAGAACTGGACACCTCCCTTTGCCAGAGCTTCAGTGCCATTGAGCCATTTACATTTTGATCAAAATGTGGGTTTTCAGAAATAAATATGAGATCTGCAAATTCCATTCAAATTTATTAAAGATAGAGGCATTTATTAGTGACCAAAAGTTGTTAAACAAAATATTGCCTATGTTTATTAAGTACTCATTTGTATTTTTTCAAGATTGTTACTAGTCTGTGTTGCAAATTGTTACCGTCTTGCAACTATTTTTAAATTTTTGGAATCCTGGATCTGTTCATTGCGATGCTTTTATGATAACTATTTTCATAATGTAGTTTTTTTAAACCTCCTGAGATTGTGCAGGCATTACTGTTTTATTAGTGGTGTTTGTTTACTGTAATATCTGCAGAACTTATTTTCAGAAAATAAGTTTCTAAGAATGTTGAGCATGTTCATTTAGCATGCATTATTACAGTATCTGTCGTGTGTATCCTACCGTTGCTTTGCTTTATCTTCTGAAGTACAGAACAATTATGTGCTTCTGTTCATTACCTGACCACAGAAGGTTGTGCATAAAGATCTTACGTCTCTCAGAAGTGAGTAATTTATAAATGCGTAGTTAAGCTGGTTCCTGATCATAAGAGTATAATGTGATTCTCTGGGCCTAGAACGTTGCTTCTGTTTAGATTCATAACTGTAATATTCAGGCACCTATACATTTTGAAAGATTATATTTAAAGTACTTTTTGTGTTTGAATAACAAACTGACAGGCAAGCTGTTACGTACAATCTGAAAGAATTGCTGATTATTTGCAAATACTTACTTCTTGGTTTTTGTCATTACTGCTGTCTTTTCTGAAAATACGGGTTCCTGTTGCAGATTGACAGCATAGCTCTTCAGTTGAGGCTGTTCATTCCATGAAGTTCTCCGGTCCAAATGGAGACATTACAACACTGAGCTTCAGGCCTGTGTTAGTCTTTCCTTTGTGTATCTACTTCTCTTCCTTTTGTATCATGCTACTCGGGAAGATTTTTGGAAAGTTTTCTAACATACAGGAGCATGTGACAACAAAGGCATTGCTCAGTTGTGTTTGGGGAACTGGTAGCATTTCAAGTGACTTTAAAATTCTGTTATCATTGGCCTGGTTTCACACTGATGGTGTCCCTTTAGTGACCTAAGACATTAGAGAGACAGGCTCTGGCCCACAACGGCAACCACAACAGCAAAGCTTTATGCACGGGTGAGGTTGTATGAGCGTCCTGTCGCATGGATCATGCCGCAAGGTCGCAGCCGTGTTTTGAGAACTGAGGTCTCTAGGATGTGCTTACAGAGGCTGTTTGGATTACGCTACAGATGTGCAGGGATTTTCTGCTTTCTTTCATCAGCCACATGTTTTCTCTTCCCCTCTATAACATTTCTTGAAAAAAAAAAAAAACCAAAACCAGAAAGTCTTTCTGGATTTTTTTGCTTGAGTTTTGCAGAAGCCACAACGGTTGGTTGTGATAAGCGGCACAGTGTTGAGAGAAGGAATAGCTTTGAGTGAAGGCAGCGCTGCACGTTGAGTGCTTTGTGCTTGACTTGTCTGGAGCACTTTGAGAAAGGAAACAGGCTCTGAGTAACGCAAGTATCACCACAGCACCACAGCATAGACTTCTGAACAGCACATTTTTGTGTCTCCTATTACTGTTTGTGACATGTCAAACAGCCTGGATGTGTCTTTTAGCTCTCTGAAATATGGACTTACTGCTTGTGGAGGGGGTTGTTTGGTGGGGGGCACGTTGTCTTTCTAAGGGGCTGAGGTATCTGAAGCTTGCCTTAATGCGGGGAGTTGGCCCATGTATTCACACAACCCCCTTTCCCCATAGCGTGGCTTCATCTTTTAGCTTTGCCCTCCTGGGGTTGCATTGTGGCTGCGATGGGAGGAGACCAGACGAGTGGCTGGTGCGAGCTGCTTTTCCAAGTGATGCCCTTTACGTTGTGCCCTTCTGACAAGCGAGGAGGATTTGCCACAGAACGTGAGCAATTGGGAGTGCAGGTGTGAGAGATAATGGGCGGGGGAGCGTGTGTGCAGAAGCGAACGCAGATGGGGGGAGAGGAAAGACAAGGAGCGAGGGAGGGAGTGAGCAAGCACATATAGGAGTGAGCGAACACTTGAAAATCAGAGCTTTTGATTAAAAAAAAAAAATCCAATATGGCTTTAATTATAGTCATGCTGCTGGCACCACCATAATATATATTTAATTAATCAAAAATGATCCAACTTCAAACATTAGAATTCATTCTCTTTAGAGGTTCTAAAGAAACTGAGTAAATATTGTCAGCCGTGGTGTGGAGAGCGGGAAGGAAAAAGAAAGAGGGCTTGAAGTGAGTCACAATCCATTGTGAAAGGTACAGGAATCTGCATAAAAGAACTAAATAAATAGAGTGTGTAAGGGGCGGGGGCATGGAAAAATCTCTACCTACCTGAATAAAACAGGGCTGTTAACACAGGAATCTTGGCAAGCTTAACCAGAATTCTAGTGTCATGTTTTAAGAGACACTTTTAAGATCTCTCAGCTCTTTGTGGAACAGTTTATAAGAAAACAAAGGCAGGCAGAGAGTATCTTGAAGGCCATTGCAATAATATAGAGGCTAGCCCTGAAAAGCGCTCTTCTACAAAGATGAGCAAAATACAATACATACAGCCAAAGCAAGCCAAAAGGGGAGGAACATGGTGAGAGAAGTAAATTGAAAGTCTTAGCGATGTAAAAATCCCAGGAGTTTAACAAAATAATCTGGCATAAATGGTTTATTAAGCATACATCCTGCCTTGCAACAATATTTTGTAAAGTGAACAGTTTATTAC